AATGCAGCACAGATGCAGCAGAAGGTGAGACAGAGGGCGGTTTTCTGGGTCTACAATGGTGGCCAGTGTGCCAGCAGCAGTGGTGCTTCCTCCACAGCAGGCGGTGGTGGGAATAAGATACAGTAGCATGTTTAGTTTGAGTTCACCTACAGAGAGTCTGTGTGGTGAAGATCTCCAAACACTGGTTGATGGAGCTTGATTCACTTTTATACAGCTTTGACTGTATTCTTTGTTTATAGGCCCACTACATATTTGGATTTCTGTCAGTCTTCATGCTGTTTCCGGGGTCGGATCTCTCCTCTATAAGGCGATTTCCAGGTGTTATATGCCTATGTGATAAAAGTAATAGTAGTAGTAAGCTCTGGACCCCATACCTTGTGTTCTGAATACGCTATGAAGTATAACGCTTTCTAACAACATGATGGGTTGTGAGCCAACATGTACGGTTGGTCTACTGACAACCCCACACTGTAAAACCAGATAAGTTAAGTAAAGTAAGTTAAGTAAAACAAAATTTTGTAAGATAAAAAAACATTCTTGATTACATAGCTTTAGTTATTTTGAGTGACACTGACTTCATTTTTTAATCGTTTCGTAACTTACAAAACTAAGTTTGTGTCACTTAAACTTATTAGTAAAAGTGGCTTTATAATAATTAATAATAATCAATAATCTTTCTGTAACCAAAAAATGTTTGTGTTACTTAAAATTATAATATAATCAGTTTCAACATTTTTTGGGGTTAAATAAACTTAACTGGTTCCACAGTGAGAGAGAGAGAGCCTCCTTCACACACGGCTCACCAAAATCTAAAATGTGAGTTTATTTTTGGGCGACTATGACAAAGAAAGTCACACACATATGTGTCTGTCCCTGGATGATACAGCTCCCGGTGTGTGTGTGTGTGTGTGTGAGAGAGAATATCCCAATAATTAAGGACAGTGATTCTTTCCCCAGATGAATGAAGTTTTAATGAGGCTTTTTTGTACATTGTTGACTTTGTTGTCATGGCGACGTTATCCGCTGGAAAGAGAAAGTGTGTTGTTTCTGCCGAGTTCACACGTTAACGTAGAGGAGAATCTGCTTTCAGCTCCAGATCAGAACTGAAGTAAATGTATTTAAAAACATACAATATTATCAAAATACAACAAAATTTAGAACAAAAGTCCTTAAAGTTTTGCTTTCTTGTTTCAGTATCAGTCAGATACGAGTCACGTTTAATGCATGTAGCGCAGGCATACATCTGTGATTAGTGAGGAGCTAAAATGTGACACTAAGAAAGTAAGCAGAGTTAAAATGAGTTAAAAACACTGCAATCGTGGCTCCAAACAGGAACTATTGGTGAGAGGAGTGTGGACCGTAGGGTCGGCCTACGCTGCTGTATGCGGGTCATAATGGTCGCACTCGGACAGCCTGATATTGTCTGAGGTGGTACGCTGTAAAAAAGTAATAAAAGAGTAATATGTTTTAGAGCCTTGCTTTATAGTCTCCAGAGGGCGCTGTGTGACGTCTGATTAATGTCCTCAAGTGATGTCACTTGAGTCAGCGTCAGTTGAAGACTACAAGTTTGAAAATAAAACAAATCTTCCCAGACCTCTGTCGCTGCTACATTGGCCGCTACTAGCATGGTGGGCCGAAGTGGCCATTGTTTTGGTCATAAGATGCTGGTGCTCTTGTGTGACATCTAGTGGCATGTGAATTTCGTATATATATATATATATATATATATATATATATAACCTCCCTATTACTGTATGTTTTGGAGAAGAGGATAAACCTGATAAAGCTAAAAATGTCAGTTATCTGCAGCAGATCTGTTTGAAGCAGCAACGTGGACAAGAAGCAGTAAACTGATTTTACTGTAAAGGCTGAATCTTTCATCGAGAAGCGATACTGTATTTAAGTTTATTCTCATGTTCTTTCTAAGATTATTTTTGTTCCGAGCTGCAGCTGCAGTTTGTGTTCCAGCCTCAGGAGAAAATCTTCAGCTGTCTGATGTGTATGAGGAACCGAGAGGAAACTATTTGAACATTTTTAAGACATTTGCATTGCAAAGCACTGATTTGCTTTTACTGTATAATGTTAAAGAAACACTGTTCAGCGGATGAATGGTAACTGCACATCTGTTGCTGTGGGGTCAGAAAGAAGTGAGACCTCTGAACACCTGAATATGCACAGTCGAGTGAATCAAGTCACGTGGCATTGTGCATCGATTCTGATTCTCCATCAGTCCGACAATGCTAACTGTAACGCTAAAATGTGAGTAACACTCCTTTGTTGTAACTGATGAGACCGACTCTCCTCCGACCGTCACTTCTGTTTGCTTCGGCTGATCCGGCGGGTCGAAGGTTTCGCAGCTTCCAGAGCCGGAGTGGATATGAGAGGATAAAGGGAAACGTGAGGTTGTGCTGCCAGAAACCTGAGAGTCGGCTTTTAAGCTTTTTAGGGGTGTGTGTGTGTGTGTGTGTGTGAATTGTATGTCTTCCAAACACACACACACACTGAGACAGTGTGTTCCCCCTCTCTCTCTCTCTCTTTGGGAGTGTAGACTTTTCTTGGTGTACTCCTCCACCTCTCCTGATCGACTGATTTCATTCAGCTTGTAGAGTAAGTAGCTTTGTTTGTGTATTTGTGTGTTTGTACGTGTGTGTGTGTGTTTGTACAGTGCTAGGAAAGAGAGAGAGAGAGAGAAAAGGGGAGACAGAGCTCGGTATGTGAATCCTGCGGCTGCTTCTAGTTTTTCCATTAGTGGGAAAAAGGAGTTTGGTGTTTTTGATGTTGCATCCAAATGTTCCTGAGATTTCATGCTGAACAGCTTTAATGGCAGAAGAAGGTTTAGTTAAGTCTCTTTCGCTCACATGCAAACACACACAGTATGTTATATAGCATGTGACTCTTGCTCTCAGAACAGGAAGCGTCACGTTCGTGTAGCTCAGTTTGTTTTTGCTGATCGTAGCATCATCGATGTCACTTTGACTCAGACTGTCGACCTTTCAGTTCTGTGATCTTTTGTTCCTAAACTTTGTTTAAACTTACTAAAGCTGGGCACTGTACGATTTTAGAAATGTTCTACTTACAAGTAAATCTTGTGCGATGTAATACCAAAGCTCATGATTTATGTGCTCACACTGATCATTGATTGTGAGTGCTGGTGTAGACACGCAATCTCATTCATACTGGTTGTAATAGCAACATCAAAGAAGCACGCATGCTGTTGCCACAGCTTGACCAGCCTTAATATTTTCCATCCACATGATGCGTTGTGTCGCCACGGCACTTTCAGACGCTCCGATCACCACTTCACGTAGGTGCAGTGGGAAAAAAAGGCACAGACTTTAAGGAATTGACTCTTCTGACATGTCAGAAATTCATCCAAACCTCCAATGGCTGTTTGAGAGCAGTTGATCGGCCCTTGCTGATTGAGCGGTCACAACATAATTCACAACATAAGAAAGAGGAACATTCTATTTCAGTCACATGACATGATCAGCAGATAGCTTCAAATAGACGCCGTGATCGGTTCTGATCGGAGCACCCTCACTCTCTAATTGTTTCCACACAGTTTTTAGCAACAAAAGCTTGTCCTCAGTCTCTGAGAGTGAACCGTTAAATTCCCACGAGCAAGGCGGCGGTGAGCCTTCAGTGGCTGCGGTGAGGCTCTGAATGTAGGAAAGTGGATGAATGTGAAGCAAGATTTTGCAGACAAATGTAACACCAGTCAGCGTTTAATGGATAAGTAAGGGTTAAAACACACATACTGGTGTTTCTGACGTTTCCAGTGCGTTGGCTGTGGTTTTGGCTGTGGCGAAGGCTGAGCCCGAGATCAACGGAGGCCATTGTTACCCCGAACGAGAGAGACGAACCATTCTTTCCACTTTCCATTTCAGCTCTTTTTTGTGAGGGATGGCTCATCTTTCCAGCTGTTATTGAAAATGATGAAGGCCAACGTGTTTCATGTTTCGAGTGAGCGATCATAAACAATTCCAGATCGATCAGTGGCATTCGGTTAGTTTCTCTCACAAACCGACCTCTCGTGTGTTTTATGTTTGAGAGAAATTAAAAGGATAATATGACCCCATACATGCAGTCTGAGGTACACAGTGCACTGGCTGTACCTCCTCTGCACATTTTGTGGTTTGCAGTTCACAATACATTTGGATTATTACATCACACAACTCCAGTTTTGGAGGATTGTTTGAACACAGCAGCTCTCACTGGACTGAAATCTGCAGTTAGGTGATTCTATCAATTTTCTCAATTTATAATAATACAGCCACTCTGACTGCTCAATCTTTGCTGAAAAAGGTGACTTTTTCTTGATCCAACTGGCGAGATTACTCTGCATGTGCATGTTTTTCTAGTCCTACAGTTGATATTTCATAAAACCTAAAACTTTGTCTGATGATTGTGGACTTCTGACTCAGTGGAAGTGAACATTTTCAGTCTACTTCTGTTTTAATGAATCAATCTGCTCTCAGTTGATTGATTGAGTGATTGACTCCTCTCCGGGCTGCTGAACCTTCAGCTTACTGCACGACTTGTCTTGTCCCACCCCGTCTTTGTTTTCGTCTGATTCCTCAATATCTTAGGTAATCTTCTTGTGTCCTCTAATCCTTTACCATTAGAAAAAGGTCTTGGTGTTGTCTCCTGAATCCTAAAGGTCCTTGTAACCTTCTTGAAAACCTTTGTCTTCGTCCTCTTTGACCTTGACTCTTTGGTAATCAACAAGGATGACCTTTACAGCCCACTCGAATGTGTCCTTGAACTCTACCCACTTGCCTCCTGATTTCTAATAATAATAGTAGGTGTTTGCCTCCTTATATCTATGTCTCCTACCCTTTTTATGGATCCTATCCTCTTGTCTTCCCTTGTTCTGTCGTCTCATGTCTTCTTCTACAAGCATCTTGTCTTCTGAGTGATATTACCCTACTTTAACAGTTTCAGTGGAGGTTGTCCCTTTTTGAAAGTTCACAAATTTATCATCCTACAATCACCTTCAGTGCTGGGCTGTACCACCACAAACTGTAACATGGTGCTGATGGAGGCCCAGGGGGAATTCACATCGCCCTGCTACCCCCTGAAATACCCCAATTCGCAGGCCTGTAAGTGGACCATGCAGGCCCCCGCTGGCTTCATCATCCAGCTCTCCTTCCTTGACTTTGACCTGGAGGAGGCACCGGGCTGCATCTACGACCGGGTTGTGGTGAACACAGGGAACACGGACGTTAAGTTCTGCGGCCCGACGGCCAACGGGCTGACGCTGAACTCGACCGGGAATGTGATGGAGCTGTCCTTTACCTCCGACTTCAGTGTGCAGAAGAGGGGGTTCAGTGTTAGCTTCCGACACGGTAGGTTCAGGCTGACACCAGCATCTTGTTCAAATGTAGCTTAGTTAATCCAGACTAGCACACTGTTCTCAGGCTAAAAATGATCCGGTTAATTCCGTCATTGAATGCACTTTTAAATTGGTTTGTTAATCTTAGCTCTTACTTTAAAATAAAGCCAACATAAGGAAAGAAACCATGATCAATTGAGTGCTGGTCCCATGATCACATATCACTTATGAGGCAGGTGTAACGGAGCCTCCCAGTATGTGCTCCAGGAATACGACAGAAGTCTCATTTTGTTAACTTTAATTTACCTGCAATTTGCCATGTAAAATCATAATATATCATCATAACTATATGTGTAGGGCTGCCGGAGCGCACTGGAAAGACGCTCTGGCCCTTTTTGTTTTGTTTCAGTTGAGGAAAGAGAATATTTGCAGTTTAAATTCATATTCCTTTTTTTTTAGCGCTTAAAGGTAATATATAAGAGCCAATAAAAACAAATGCAATGGTTAGAGTTGTCATATTGACATTTAAGGTGTGTCGACTGACGTAAACTCACGCACTGATTCAAGCAAACATTCCACCTTAGAAGTTGCCGGTAGCCTTTGATCGGCACAATTAAAAAACGAAAAGGCAGCAGAACATCCTTTCATTCGTTCACTCTTCTGACAGTTTCTTTATTTATGATGCAGAGAAACGTCACAAACGCAGCCTTGTACTTGGCTAGCTTGTGCTGCCTCCACAATGTCTGCAGAAAATGAAAGCTAGCTTAGCTACGTTAGTATAGCCTAGCCTCGATCATAGTGGCCAGTTTTAGTTAGAATGAGCCATTTATATCTACAGATGCACTTCACTGCCAGTTCTCATTCCCAGGTCATCAGATACCGACGCTACATGCTGATAAATCCTACACACAAATAGCACTGCGCCTTTGAATATATATCATCATACTTATACAAAAGTGAATCCATTGCATCTAAAAACGAGTTCATATGTGGCCCTTCATCCTAAAACCTCTTCATGGCTAACTGTGAGCTTCTAGCCCGTCAACGTCCATGGTCATACCAGTAAGAAAGATCTCATCTCAGCCGCCTTTCAGTGATTTTTTGCTGGCTCCGCAGTCTCCGAACACAACACATTTGTAGTATTTGAAATCTAATATTTTCTATCCATCTATCTATTTGTTGCTGCCACATTAGCTTGTCTGAAGGTAAAGTTAAGCCTCATGTTTTTAATTGACAGTTTAAAGTTGCACCACGCCTCAGTAACGATTTTATAAAAGAAGACAGAGGCAGTGTGATGTATATTAGATGTACATTCATTGTGAACATTCATTACAGTGATGATATCCGTTGAGTCACATTGCAACATGGTTGAAATCTCAGAGACAGTTTTGTCTCAGAAGTTGGGTTCTTGGGAGTTCCAACAAACTTCCAACTGCACTCTGAATAGACCTTTTTCACAGCAACCATTTGCATATGAAATAGTAGGGTAAACACAGGTGTTACCAATGATATGAACTAAGGTTCAGTTCCATTTAGAGTCCATAGAGAGTCTTTTCCAGTGAGCCAACATGCACAATAGACTCTGTTTGACCTCAATGTAAAATAACCTTAGTTAGTATCATTGGTAACTCCTGTGTTTACCCTACTACTCCATGTCAAAATGGCTGCTATGAGAAAGGTCTATTGAGGAGATTAAGAAGTTTGTGTTCTGAGCTTGTCGTGGAGCATCTGCAGCCAAAAATAATCAGTTCATCTTAAATTTTAATTGAAGTCTGAAACCACAGAGCTGTTGGTGGTTTCTACATCACAGACAGTGAGGGGTCAACATCACACCGTCCGAGGTATCGACCCACCGAAGGTCCAGACGGCACTGTTTGCTGTGGTGTTTTGGTGCCTCTGTGCACGTTTGCATTGGGTATTTTTTTTATGTGTGAGTGGTGTTTTTCAACTGGCTGTTGGTATTTTGCTCTCGGCCAGCGGCTCCAGCAAGAGTTGTTTCCCTGCTGAAAAAAAAAAAAAAAAACCCTGATTCATCAATTCTATGATAATTCTAATGAAGCGTGTGTTCAGAATAATGTAAAATGCTTTTCATGGGGTGTATTTATCAGTGAGTGCCTCAATTTTTTATCAAACAGTCAAACTTTTATCAAAAAGGTTCAAAGAATGAGATGATTAGTTGAAATAAAGATGGATGAAAAGATTTTAATTTTCTTTCATGTGTATTTTCACTTCTGTCTGACTTTATTTCCTTCTTGTTTGCTTTTATTTTGTTCTTCTTGTTGTCTGTCTTCATTGTCCATTCCTCTTTTTTATTCATTCCTTTCGCTGCTTACTTTCATTGCTTTCTCATTATAATTAACCTCTTTTATTCCTTTTCTTTATTTTCTTTTAATGATTTTCCCAATTTCCTTTACTCTTTCTGCTTTTTATTCTTTCTTCCTTCCCTCTCCTTTACTCCTTTGTTGCTTCTTTACCACATTTTGGCCTTCATTAATTCCATCTTCTTTATTTCTTTACCCATACTTCTTTTATTCTTTCACGTTTTCTATATTCCTCTCTCTCATGTCCCTTTAACTTTTTTTTTCTTATTCTTTTGCTCACACTTCTTGATTCTTTTCTTGCTTCCTTTTCTGTCGCCCTGTCCTCCCCTCCTTCATGCCTCGTGTATGTTTTTTTTCTTGCCTTCTGTCCTTCCTTCCATCCTTTTATTTTTTCTTGTCTTCTTCTGTGTCTTCTTCCTAGTTGCCGTGGCCCTGAGGAACCAGAAGGTCACCATATCCAAAGGCAATAGCCAGACCACTGAAGTCTCCAACTCTGTTTCCATACCAGCACTCAGTCACCTGACGCTGTGCTTTGAGTTGGAACGCAACAGCGACAAACAGGTACACAACACGGAGGGAGTATTTCTCTATAACAACAAACAGCATGTATTGTTTGGGTTTCTCTGAACTCTTCTCACCGGTTTGAAGTGGGTGGAACTCTGAAAAACATCATACTTCCATCCACCAATCAGGATTCAGATAGAATTGACTGATAAATGGTATACAAGGTAAAATGACCCTTTTTTTCTATGGAGTCTGGTGGCAAGGATAGCAAGGATTATCGCTATCTTACATTGCAGCCATCTTCACAAATATTTATATAATATTATTACATTTAAATATAATATGGCCAGCTGTAGCACCCTTTGTTTTAATCAGAGATACTGGTGCTCTAGTGCGACATCTAGTGGCGTTTGTAAAAACATATTTAGATGTAATTTATCTAGAGTAAAAAATCAGGAATGTGGTGGTCTGGCAGACAACCCCAAAACTCACATTTTGATTGCAAATGCTGCTAAACTATGTAACCCCGCCCACTTCAAACCACAGAGTTTAGACAAAAATATGAAACACACAAATTTCTTGTATTAAATAACCAAAACTCATTTAGGACTCTAATTTTTAAATCAGCTTTTGTTTTACTGCTCCACATGCAAGTGACGTAAACGTTGCAGTTGAAACTCATTAACAGTTCTCTTGTTGTTTTCTGAACAGAAAGAGTGGATCTTCACCTACTACGACACAAGCAGCAACGTGGCACTGAGTTTGGGCTCTGACCAAGGCAGCATGAAGATGATCGTTGATGGGGTGGACTGCCCGATCGACACCATCCTCTCCTCTGGTGACTTCACTTCCACCATGAAGCCTTTTTGCGTTCTCTGGACATCAGCAAACGGCCGGGTGGGAGTCTACTTCAATGGAAACTACTGGGCCAAGACCTGCCCCACCTCTAGTGGGCACACTGTGCCAGGTGGTGGACGGTTCCAGTTAGGAGGTAAGTTTTTATCATTTCATTTGGTCCAAGTTAAAGGATATTTAGTTATATAATAATATTAAGTTTTTTTCTTGAAACCAACCACCCAGTGATCACTTATTGGCAATTTGCTGGTTTAAAGACATAAAACAGATTAAAAATAGGGCAAGGTGGAAGCAAGCGTATCCAGGGTATTTTAGCTTCTTTGTTGTGCAGTGGCAGGAAGTGGAGACCTGACGTCTTCTTCATCTTTTTTACGTCGATACTAAAAAAATAAACAATAGAATATTTCCATCACATATATGTAACGTGGCGCCTGTGTGACTGTTTGTGTTCAGGGCAGCAGAGCTTCGACGGGAACATCTACAACCTGCGGCTGTGGGATTACGCCATGATGGTGCAGCAGCTCGAGGCGTTGAGCTGTGACACGGTGGGGAACGTCATCGACTGGGACAACAGCCACTGGACCATCCCGTCTGCTCTGGCCCAGACCGATGCCACGCTCAGCTGCAGTGAGTACAGGAAATAATCACAGTCTGATCTCAGAGCAGTGGACGCGGGAGGGGTTGAATTCATAATCCGATGTTGTGGGGTACATCAAGTGTAGATAAAGGATAAACTATGTGGTTGAGGTTTCAATGTCAATTCACACCAGATTTCTCGTGGTTATTCTTTAATTCTGTGTCAGGTAAACTAACTTTAAGCTAACGGGTTCCACAATAGAGCTAGTGAGATGCTTACTTCTAGGTTGGACTATCATCCCTACAGCACTCTTTATCAGAAACTCTTTACACTGTGCGAATACAAAAGTATGCATTTTGACCAACAAGTAAAATATAATAATACTTACCTTTTGCATCCAAAGCTGTACAAGGATATTCTCATTTCCATCCCCTGTCTGGTTCACTATATTGTTTTAATGTTGCATTATTAGGGTTTGAACGCTCCAAACTGTTCATTCATGCACCGAGACGCCAGAGAGTACCTGTGATTTCTTGCCTGTCACAGGAAATCACCAAAATCCTTCGTTATGTGTCCTAAATTATTCACTGTTCAGAGCCAACAGCACTTTTACACTGTATTTGTACAAAATTTCAGAAAAGGCATTAGGCAAACTGATTTTTCTAAATTGTTGTGATGCTGAAATATCACCTGAGATATCATGTAAAATAACACACACACACACACACTGTATTGTACCATGCAGGAACTTAAAGCACTAAATATTTCAGTATGTTTGCTATCAGCGTGGAAAATTACAACCAGACTTTGGCCAAATTCTGGTACATTGTGGCTGCGGCTGGTAAGTTAATAGACTCCAGCAACCAGTTTGGCTGCTGACCAATCATCTCCCTGATTCCTGCTCTGTTCTAAAAACCCAGTTGGCTGATAAATACACTGTGAGTGGTCAAATTCCTGCACGCAAACACACACACACACACACACACACACATACACACACACACGTATTACTGTATGACCTGAAAAGGAAATCAAATCACGTTCAGTTACATTGCTTATTTATTGCAACATTTTTTACAGTGTTTATTAGTTTATAAAATGTATTTGAACATAAGCATCTGAAATGCATTATACACTCACACCCACACACACACACACACACACACACACACTCAATGGTACAAATGGCCACAGACACAAATCTGAAGTAGTAGTTTACATAATCAACCATATTTCTCACCATATTTAAGTATTAACCATGAAAAAAAGTGTAAGACTACACTCTGTGTGTGTGTGTGTGTGTGTCCACAGAGGTACTGTACCTTTATTTTAAAACGGTTGAAATGGTGTGTAGCCACAGGAGGTAGCACAGTGGTTTCAGTGAATTCTGCCAATGCTGTACCCACTGTAGAACAGGCCTCTGTGTGTGTGTTTGTGTGTTGTGTGTGTGTGTGTGTGCATGCTTGTATGTCTGAGGCTGCAGTGGTTTTCAAGAAAATGCATTGTGTCTCTCTTATTTTTTCTGGACTCACTACCTCAACACACACAGCACACACACACACAATACACACACACACACAGTCGGGTTTCTTTATTCTTTTCTTTGCTCTATCTTTATTATCTGCTGTGAATCCAACTGAGAGAGACACAGTGTAAAGCGCGCTACTGAAATACAGGAAGATTTGATCGTCAAACAAGATGACATTAACACATGAACATGACGGAAAATAAGATAAAACATGAAAGTGGGATGGCTGTGAAAAGTTGGTTTTGATATAATTTGGTTCTTTGATGGTTGTGCCACAGGTGCATGATACATGCTTATATGGTTATAACAGCATGGTATAATAAACTACATCCTATATATAAATAAAGAATAATAGGCGTGTATCTTCAAAAATGCGTTATCTCTTGTATGAATAAACCATGAATAAAAACAAATAATATTCACATAATCAGATATCCTAGTAAGAATCAAACCTCCCTCAAAAAGGTAACAGAGCCCTCAAATTAATATATACTCAGATATAGTATAGTATATAATATAACGGTGTAAACATAGATGCAAGAATAAGGAGATCTTTCAATTGATGAAACGCTCACAATTACTTCAAATACCTTTTAAAATCCATGAATTCGTTGAGCCACTTGACAACTTCACTTCTTCCCCGCTTGTAACACATAATCTGGCAAACTAAGAGATATATTCATCCAATACTAGGGCCAAAAATGATCAAAACTAATATTATAGTAAGAAAATATGATTCAGTATATTCGCTGTCTTCAGTATGTCCTATTAATCTTAGTCCACTGGTAGACGGTCCCGATCCGACATGTCCACTTGAATTCTAGCAATAGACGGCGGTTGAAATGATCGTATAGCCCTCTAATTTTATTCTATATCTGCTCAGATGTACGTTGATGTGCTTCTGCTGTGTATCTCTGTTTTGATTCTTGTGAAAATTCCCTAATCTAACTGATCGTTCGCTTGCCATAATCTCGGACAACATATGGATATAGCTGTCTCCAACTAAATATCATCTCAACTAGACCAGATACTCACACAGCGACAAACACCATTGTTATCAAGCATATTACACAAATGGGACTCTGAATGATTATTATACAAATTACTCCATTGTAATTGAGCACGCTTGACCTTTTTGTATGTATTAGCTCTACAAGCCTCAGATGCTGTTTATTTGGATCATATATGTAACTATTAACCACTCAACGTTGCAGCCATTGATATAATTGATTGCTTCATTGACTCAATTGACTCTTTATCAAATGATGACGATCTAATAAAGATGTTTTGACTGTCCAACTCATCTGTCTCTCTAACATATACAGTCTTCTACCCTCATTGCTTCATTTAACTACTGCTGCGCCCAACTAGTTGTGAGTGCTTGCTAAACCCTGCTAATGTATGTCTATTGTTCTGTTATGTGTTGTGTGGTGTGTGATGTGTCCAGAGGTTGATGACTTAGACTCAATTTAGATCATTAAAAAAACAGAATATATCACAAAGATATTCCATTGGAATATAAGCTTTTGGCCTTGAAAAACTATAACTTCCCCCAATGTTAAGCTAATATACTATATCATTTTGAATTTAACATGGTTGTATGCAAGCACCTTATTATGTCTCACGACACTCTACCAATCACTTTGCCACAGAGGAACCCTAACGTTACGGATTAATTAGCATCAGTTGGAGAAAACAATCCATACCACTTCCACTTTTTCCTGTTATGTTTGTCGTTAAAAGAGGGGAATTAGTAACAGCGGAAGAGAAGTGCATTCCCGAC